AAATGTGATGGAGACAAAGGGCAGGAAAGGTAGGTGTGGGGGTTTGGTCAAGGGGGAAGGAATACAAGAACACACATTTAGTATATGAAGATCAAGGGACCCAAACAGCAGGGGGAGTCAGCTGCCACATGTCCTTAGGTAGGCTAAGTCTGTAAAATGTAAATTGTCTTCTTCACAAATATCAATAATCCAATTTGGAATTTGGATGATCTAAAACTATACGACCCAAAATGTACAATTTATATACGATTACTAAGTCCAGTGACTGTTGTCAGAATGTTGTTTTGCAGTATACCATAAGCATTAACTGTAGAGGTTTATGTAAAAAACAAAAAACAAAAATTTTCAATGCTTATATCCCAGAACTATTGCAGTTTGCAGTTGAAACTGCACTATGTTGTTGTTGCGTTCATTAATGATGTAACGTAACATAGATACAGTTTAATCACTCATTGTAGAGAAAAACGTATTCTGTTCTGCTGCTTGTAAGCAAATATGAATGATTTGGCCTCTTTTGTTCCTAATTCACCCAAAGTTGTTGTATTTATGAAGGCTTTTTGACTCTTCCTACTGAGCACTTTAGTTCTTCAATCAGCTCTTTTTGGAGACAATACCTGCTTACATTCCACCCTCACCTCACTGTACTTTGATATCTGTACATTTTATTGCAAATGACATTAGTTTTTTTTCTTTCTTGCCAGCCTACATAATTTAAACTAAAGTGCTGTGCTAATTTTGTGATTTTTACTGTGCAACCAAATAAAAAGTGATAAAAAACGAAAATCCATTTAATAAAATTGAATAAGATTTGCATTTCTGTGAAATTGTACTCATAAAATCACTTTTCATTAGTGTCAATAAAAGAATTGTTCCATAGCAAAAAAAATTGATGGTAGGTTAAAAGTTAGGGTAATCAGAATAGTAGAAATGTCTGACCTGCAGTGTTGGACTTTTTATTTGTTTTTCTGTCACAGAGAAACATAAAACATATGTTATTAATTTTAAAAGTAACACTATTAGTAGCATGTCTATAGAGTTTAGTGACAGAGAAGTAAAGCTGTCTGAGTCATATTTAAACAATGTAGCAGATAATTATTTGGTGAAAGTGTTCTGGTTGTGGTGGGAGGTTGTTGAAATGATCTCTTTGAACAGATGTTGTGTTACAGTGACTAGTGTGCGGTGTCTGAAGACCATTCCCAGATGCAAAACCCATTTCTCTAGCTGTCTCACCATGTAATTTGTCTTTTGATAACGTGCAGTAAAGTGACATAACACCAGAGTAATCAGGGATACTTTGTCTAGAACGGAAAACACAAAGGCATGCCTCAGATTCCTTTTCTAAGCTCCTGGAAGTAAAACAGAAATGTTAACTCAATAATACGAGCAATGCATTGTTAATTCATCAAGTCACTTTGTTTTTGAACCTCTTTCTGGGCTGAGGTTTCCAACTGTTACCCAAGGCATGAGCTGTTGACACGCCGGTCAGGCTTCTATTCTCAAATTTGGTTTTTATAGTCCATGTCTGCAGCTGCCCCTCCGCTTCAAAAAGAGAGAATCAGGCTGTTGTTGAGGCGAGGGTTTATCATTGCTGCTGGACACTTTTTCCACTGGTGTAATGGAAAATTAGATAACCAGTTGTCTCCAAGAAATTATTTTATATCCAAAGATAATGACTCCTTATTTTCTTGTTGGAAAATATTATTATGCAATTGGTAAAATTAACACATATTTATGTCAAGTATGGTTGATTCGATTATACTTCAGTTGTGTCTATCAAGCAATCTACTGTCCGATGCTTTTTCACATCTTACTTCAAAAATGAGCAACTAGTGTGTATCACTGACCTGGAGTATATTCTTTCATGATTTCTAGAAGTTTATTTTTTTTTTGTGTGCTATGCAGATAAAAACAGCTGGAAAGATAGACATTACTTGACATGGATGTGAAGACTAATCTCTATGCAGTATAATGTTAAACATCTGTATCTACAAGCTAGAGTGTCTAATGGACTGTCTTCATTAGAGCTGTATCCTGTAGTTGCAGTAGATCCACTTGCACATCTGGCTCGCTGGGTTGATGAGAAGTGCAGTCCTGTGTTTCTGTAACTTTTCCAGGCAAGGACAAAGCTTGTTTAATTTGCTTGGCAAGGACAAACCTGTGTCCAGGCGAAACATTTTTCTTTATGGTGCAACCTCATTCCTGGTGTTCTCTGACTATGACTGACAAGGCTTTCCTCAGGCAGTGTGCTGGGCTGAGTCTGGCATAGTTGAGTGTGTATGGAAATCATGTACATATGCAAACTTGGGACTTTTGTAAGTTCAGTTCTGTTCGTTTCATCAAGATACAGCAGCATACAAACAAGCTGCCTGTCAAACCTTGCACATGTGCTTATGTTATAGTATTTATCAATGTGCCATGTAACTACAAAACATTACTGTACATCTGATACTGTGTTGGTAATTTTCCATTAGCCAGTGTAATTTGTAAATTAGGGGGATCAGTAGACCATAGGGCATTGTGCAGTCTGATCTTTACTTAACATCAAGTCCCATATAGTGCATTACGTTTGTTGAATAACAGAGAATGTTTGATGAAGAACATCTGGAGCATCAGGAGTCTCATGTTCAGTGTATGGCCTTGCTGGAGGCTATCAATAAACCTACACCACTTGCAGAGTTGATTTTAAATGGTGATATACAGTATATATTCCTATATAATGTTATGACTTTCAGCAAAAAAAAACAAAAAAACCCTCATTTATGCAGAAGGCATAAATGAGGGTTTTATTGTCCCAAAGCCTTTTAGGACAGTAAAATCTTGAACTAACTGCCCGAACAATTGCAGCACAAAGATCCATCCTGAGAAGAAGCTCATTAAAGTCACTAAGTACCCCAGTACAAAGGCACATCTGCCTTGTGTTCAAATCTTTGTCTTTATTTTCCAAATGCCATGAATATCATCACTCACACTTTCCAACAGGAAGCTGTTCACAGATAAAAGTCCACTGTCTTACCAGTTACATGAGTAATTTTAGTAACAAACAGCTGCTATTGAACTAAAAATAGTTGCTTTTCCATTGATCTGTGCTGTTTGTGAGCTATTTTAAATTTGACATTTATCAGATTTGAATGGAAAATCAGCACAGAGTGTACGTCAGACAGACAACTCTCTTAGTATATGTGGTGTTCAGTATTGCGGGATAATCATGGCAGCTTAGAATGTGAATTGTAAACTCTCCCAAACTCCTAACATCTACATCTGTAGGCATCGGTGGCGGAGCATGCAGGACATACTCACATAGTACTTGGTTCCTGTAGACAGAGCAGATCTTAAATATCTACTATATCTGCCAGGCTTAAAAAGCTCAAGAGAGGGCTGTTTGTACGTGAATACTTGTGTATGTGGCTGATAACGGTGAGCTTGGATCAGTAACAAACAACTGTGACCTCTGCAGAACTGATAGGACGATTCCCTCAAAACACGACAGAGAATTATCAAGGAATCAAGGAAATGTATTTTTTATTATACAACACAAGGTTGTATAACGAAATGAAAGTTTGATAGCTAACTTATATGTTTTTTTTCATTCAAAATTGCAAGTACCCATTGTCTTTGTCATTGGCAAAAATGCTGTTTTACATAACTGTTTAAACATAACTGTACCCCAAATCCATCACAGCTGTCCACTTAAATCCACAAAGAAAATGAAAAATGCAGCATCATTAAGGTTTTTCTTTCTGTGCAGACATGTCGCCTTTACGAGGTCAGTGAAGTAGGACAGTCTCTCAAAAAAGAGGACGAGTGGGGATAATTTTGGTGCACCTCTTTTTCAATGTTTAATTGAAGTCATTACCTATGTACACTTAACTTTGCTTGTCATGCTTTGTTTGTCTTCATTCTGCTGTCATCCTTTAGAGGTGATGCTCCATATACAGCTGTAGTTTGTAGGACTACTCAGTTTAGCATATGCATGAAATCCTACATTTTACACATGAGAGAGAGGAAGACAGAGGGGGGCATCTTGGCCAGCCCCTGGTTGACCCTTGTTCACCCCTTCTCTCTCGCTCCGCCCTGCATGAGTCTTCTTCTAAACATGTGTGCAGCTGTCAGCTGGCAAGTGTTTGTGTGAGTGTGTGTTGTGTGTGCATGTGTGTGTGCGTTTGGACAAAGATCATTTTTCATGTTTCAATTAGTTTTTGCGTGTCAGGAAAAAAAGTTGCATGAAATTACGGGATATATCAAGACAATGATTCTTTTTTTCTCTAACTTGCGACAGTGCAACTTATGAACATAGCTCAATAGAATATGTTGTATATTGTAAAAAGTGACTTCAGTATCTGTCATAGAAACAGGTTTTGCAAAGTACTGTATCAGGTGAAAGACTTATGATAATGAGGATCTCTTTATTTTGTCATCACAACAAAACTAGTTATTATAGTGTCAACATATTCTTGGCTTTTCTTTTTTTACCAATTGCCCCTAATTGAGACAAATGGAGTTTGTGGTCGCAGATTTTCATTATGAGCTGGTGAATTTTTTGCTAAATATTGCTTGAGGTGTTTTTTATCGCAGCAAAGCCAGAGTGAAGTTCAGCCTGTTTATTAGTCTGAGGCAAAGTTGATAATGTCTCTAGTGACAACATCTGGTGGTCACATGAGAGAGTTGCTGGCTCGGTCCATAGAGATGATGATTGGCTCCATTTCTGTCTCTCTGTCCTCTTTGTCTCACTGTTTCTCCTAAAACACCAACACGCAATCATAAACCGACTGTGCAAACCAAACTATAATCTAGTCTGTGTCTGTAGTTGTTAATAACGTTGAGTTTTTCTCTTTCTCTCTTTTTAGCTGCGGCTCCAAAGTTAAAACCGATGAAGAATCCAATACTAGTGGATGAGGGAAGCAAGCTCACAGTTAAGTGTGAGGCAACAGGGAACCCTGTCCCTACCTACAGATGGTTCAAAGATGGCACTGAGCTGAAGAAGAGCAAAAAAGTCAAAATAAGGAACAGCCCGTGAGTACAAATCACCCATGTCCTGTAAACCTAACACAGTGTAAGATAAAAAGAGGTACTCCAAAGTGGAAGAAAGGTTGTTATTATCAGCAGACTGTGCTGATGCAGTTTTTCAGGAAACTGCAGTTTGAAACTAATTGAAAAATCAATATCAATATAAAAATTGAACATTTACTTCATATTTGGGACTATAAAGGTTTATTCCTTCATTGAAATGTAGTGTGTTGATTTATACTAAATCAAGTCAATTTATCATCCCTTTTTATTTCAATGTAACTTTCTCATGCAAATAAAAAGATACATTAAATAAAACATCCACCCTCAATTCAGCACATTCGTAAGTTACCACTAGTCAGGTTTTGCTTAAGGGAGTTAAACCAACTTCAAGACATTACCGTGTATTGAACTGACCTTACAAAGTCATTTTACTGATTGCTGGCACTGTTAGATTACATTTTAGCATGTCACAGTTAGATTACATTTTAGCATGTCACAGTTAAACATTTGTTAACACTTCAGTCAGCTTCCTTTTTTAAACACAAAGAATTATAATTGACCTTTGTTTGTAGTATGAGTCATCCTGTCCAAGGATTTACAGACGTCTCTGTAATGATAGCAGTTTTGTTGCAGTTCCACAGTTGGCCACTGGGGCAAGTTAGCAGTGAGGCTAACTTGTGCCACCATATGCAACTCCCCTAATACATCATCCCTGTTCTATTCTCTCTCAGCCAGGTCGACTAATGATGACATAATCAAGTAAAATAACTTAAGTAGACTATATAGTAATATTACCTTCTACTATATTGAAATGGGGTGGAGCTTTAAATTCAAGAACCCATTATTTATATATAGTACTCTAGGTAATTGTAACACTCCTATGCTTTCTTATTGAAAACATTTTTCCCCTCATATGTTGCCCCAGAGTAAGAGATTATGAATCCCTATTAAAGCAGAGAGTTGTTGCCATGCTGCTGCTTGCCCTGTTGTCTGCCTCTGTGTCCTCCATGTTTCCACTTGTTGCGTTTCCACGCTATTTCCTCCCTGCCCTGATTCCCCTGACTCAGCTGTGCAAGTGTTTGTCTCCCACAGGAAAAACTCCAGAGTCCAGATCAGCAGAGCAAAACTGGAGGATTCTGGGAATTACACATGTGTGGTGGAGAACCTGCTGGGAAAGGACAACTCCACTGGCACTGTTAACGTCCAAAGCAGTGAGTACTGACTCCTAAGCAACAAGTGAAGTGGCACAGATGTACATTGTTGTTGTTGTTCGGACTGTTCTCTTGCCAAATGAGAGATCAAAAGGACCCATTGCAAACAGGCATGTAACAATGGTAACACGCATGAAGAACAACTGTCCACACATGTGGCTGTGGAGCGTTAATCAGTGGAACAGTACATTGTACTTGGAGGTGAATGGAATTTAAATGCAATGTCTGGTATGATCTCTTATTTTTTCATTCACTGAATTCTGCTAGAAATGTGAAATCCCACAAAAGTACGCCTTTGACCGTCACTAGCACACAACAAATGCTGCAGACTATAGAGTATAAAATCTAAAACATAACTCGACAGAATATGAAAGTTGTAGGAGAGAAAGAAAGTGTTTAAATCTTAAGAATGTGTGTGATAGAATCTAACAGGCTCGTTCAGTAGTGGCGTATGTGCATTTCTGAGTTTTGCAAAGTACTGTAGCAGATGAAAGAGTTTTGATAACAGCTGCTTCCATTTGGTGGGGTGGTGAGTTTGTGTTTGTTCCAAGCAGTGCGGGTAGTGAGTGTGTGGCTGATGTGGGTAGCTTGTTGTCTGAGTGGATGGATACAGTATTGAAAAAAGGTATATATAAGGAGATACAATTCATTCAGGTTTGCTTCGGCCTCGATCAAGGAAGGATTTGATGCTATCTGGCTGAGACTGTCGGGGGGGTTATCTGGTACACATGACTCAGAAACTGCTTAATGTGCATGAACGTCCTGTTCACTTGACTGCTCTTTCCGTTTTAACTTGCATGACGACATAGTCATGCTTTTGCAGGTGAACTATGTCTGAGTTGATTGATACATTCACTACATTTTCACTGCTTTTGGAGAATCAAGGAGTTAAAATAATGTGGGTTCTTCATACTGCATGACAGAGGAGATATTCTCATTCTTATTGCTGACCTTGACAGCAACTGGTGTGAGAGGTATAGCTGGTAAGGAAAAGGGAGGGACTGGAGTTTAGCCATCACTCACTGTCCTTGTATTCACTTTCAGGCACAATAATCACTCCCCCTTCTCTCTTTATATTTGTCAAGGCCACCTTTTAGCGCCATTGTTTATGGTTAGCAGACTTAAGCTGAGCTGCATTATTAGAGTAGCAGCTCCTTTCAGATAAAGAAAGGGCCCATTGTGTTTGAAAACACAGAGATTCTCAGTGGTTCCAACATGCAAGTTTTCATTTCCAGCAAACAATTGTGCAGAAAAGAAGTCATCCATCTTGTATTTAAATGGGGCTGCACATTGCCTCTTTTTATTTTCTGACATCTAAAAAGCTTCAATGAGTTTTATAGCCAGATCCTGTGACTTATACTGTATGCTTGTTATGACACTTGGCTTTATTCCAGTGCAATGATATACTTCTTTTTTGCTCTAGAGTGCAATATTTAAAGGATCAGTAACGTGAAATTCCAAGCCTTAGACATATCGTGCTAACATTTATGAAAAATGTATTTGATAATCGGTAAACACAGAGCAACAACCATGCTTAATGGCAATTATATAAAATAGGTTAAATCGTGCTCTGCACCCTGCAAAGGTCGGGGGAATCCCTGGTGGCAGCACCTGTTTGCCTGAGTGTTTAATGAAGCCTTATGAACATGTGACTGGTGGCCCATGAAACTCTATATGATGATCTTAGCAGGAAAAAGTGCTCGTAATGCAAGAATATCAAAGAAAATCTACTATTACAAAGCAATGAACAAGTGGGCTGAGACATACAGTAGCCACAATTGATAAAACATGACTGAGCAATGATACGGTACACTAAACAGTGTTTTTTCACTTACAGCACACACTGTTTAAAACAAGTAAAACATGATATCCCTACATCTGGCGCAAAATATGCTAGTAGTTAAAACTGATGTTAAAACACGTGTATATTTGTGCCCATTGCCTTGAATCTCAACCACATTTGCACATTGTGGTGCATGCGATTGTGTAAATGCATCATGTATGTTCTTTGCCTGTCTGTCTGTCAGCACTGAAATTTCCTTAAATCACTCGTGGATGCTCAAACAATGGCATCACTGTATGTCCTATCATGTGCCATGATCATCAGATGTCTGTCTCTGTGTGTTTTTGTTTTGTGCATGTGCGAATGTGTTTGTTCGCTGTTCAATAAAAAGTCCCATTGTGTTACAACAGCACGCCTAGTTCCGTCATGCTTCAGGGGAAGAAGGCAAGACAGGGCGAATCAGGGGTGGTATGTCCATAGGCAGGGGAAGGACTCCGCTGAAACTACATACGTCAATAAAAGGAAACGGCAGCGCAGAGTGCATGTTGCTGTGATTATCATATGCTGATGAAAGGCTGAAATTAGCGGATGTTGGGGGGGAAAAAAGACACAGAATGTTTGTGACAATAAAGAGCTTTCTATGGCGATGAAACAGGTTGGATTTAAAAACATCTGTTTGAGGCACATGTGCTGTTTGCATGGTTTTTTATGTAAAGCACCAATGATTCACGTAGACCAAGAGCTGCTTTCAGCCTAAGGTCATAAGAGAAATGGCTATTGTGTTAAAGGGCTGCAGTAGAGTATGCTTGCCTGCTGCAGTATGTTTCCGAAGCAGCATGTAGCCGCAGTATTATCTGTGTATGTGTGCCTTCTAGGGAGGGAGTGCAAGGGGAGGGGTGCAGATGTAGATGGACAGAGAGAGCAAAAAAAAGAGAAGAGAGCGTGAATAAAGGGGGGAAAAATTACAAAATGAGGGAATGCATGACAGGAAGCAGACAAAGACATTAGCGGAGAGAGTGAGAAAGGGATACAGCTAGAGGAAAGAAAGACGGACAGTGAGGGAGAGAAAAGTATGAAGAGAAGGAAGACAAGAGCCTGCTGTGTTGCAGAGGAGACTTTCACACCCATTTTAGAATGCAGTTAGCGCTTGCTAGCCTTGTCCGGGGGTACTTTCCTACTGTATCTGATGTCTACAGTCAGGTGCTAGAGCATGGCTTTTTCTACCTGTGCTGCACCACTCACAGTATCTGGCATGCAAGCACGCTAACACAGCTGGAACCGGCTTTATCAGTGTGGAGTCTGTGAGGGAAAATGCGGTCATTAGAAATGTGAAAAGTGAAAGCTAACGATCACAGGTGATAAAGTCAAACAGCAGCTCGGCACAGGAGCGGATCATTCAACCCTCACAGTGAGACAGAATGTAGCACATGGCTGTTCCTGCCTGCTGTCTGTTCTGGTGAAGGCAGACTTTGGGAAACCATCACTCAGCTCCACCACATGGTGAATACAGGCCACCACAAGCTCAGCAGTTCACGCATACTTCTGCACTGTGCCAATAATTGATTTGACTCATTGTGTGTGTGAGGTGGAGGATGGAAGTGATGACTGATTAATATTATTTTTTAAATACATTTTATTTATTTTTCACTTTATGTTTGGGGGAGAGGGGATTTCTGCATGAATGCTTTTGAAATGTTGTGGATTGTTGCTTGGTTTTTAAACAGGGAAACAATATTTCCGTGTACTGAATGTCAGTTCTGTCAAACAATAGCAGAACATTATTATCAGCAAGTTTGAACATTTACTTAAGTTGATATACATGACAAACCTGACACTTAGCCTTGAGGTGTGATTAAATAGGAGTTGCCTGAACATTCCAAAACTAAAAAAGTGATAGCTCAAATTATTACAAAGGATAAACGTGGAAGGTAAGAATAACTGCCACTCGTAAAAAACAAAAACATACAAACGCTCATTATTGATACTACTACACATAACAGCTGGTCATTACTCAGCCCAGCCGACCCATATCAATATTTGTGTAGCAAGACAAATGCAACACCCTTGTAACTCTGAGCCGAGATGTGGAGCATGGTGTGCAAATTGCCTTGGGCGGGAAAAAATAAGCAGTGTGTTCAAGGCTGAACCTAAACTCAAAGTGAATCCCTCTTGCATTTTAAAGCACGCAGTACGTTATGGCTTCATGCCAGCCATGCAGTTTTGCCAATAACATTGAATGATTGGACCTGTGTGGGGATTTTACTCATGTCTTTTTGTTTGACCAGTAGAAGAGAAACACACACTGTCAGCTGATTGAGTGCCAGTTGCTGTATAATTATTCAGCACAGATGGTTGGATGTTCTGCTGAGTTGAATGTTTTAAGATGCTTGTTGTTCATGTTTTAGCCTTAAGACTCATTTAATTCTCTCTTCTTCTCCATGGTTGCATTTTAGCTGCTCAGGAGAAACATGGGATCAATCAGTGGAGCAATTCTGACATTCTTTTCTGAATCCACAAGACTTTCCTCCATATTTTATTGTTTGTATTTTGCCAACTCTGGCATTGTGACAGAATGCATACAGCATGTGTTTGTGTGTGTGTGTGTTTCTCCTAGTGGAATATCATATGTCCTTTTAGCAGTTTCTGTAACAATTGCTGCCTTTTCCAGAGTGGTGTTTTCAGCCTTATGCCCAACCCCCAGTGTAGAGGACCAGGGACCATTTGTTGTCCATTTGGTCTGACCTCTACCCTGTAATCAGTCTGGCATGGTAAGACCTGCTGGCCTTCTGAAGAATGGTGTAGTATATCATCGACTGTTTTCTATAAGGCCAGTGTGAAGGAGCAACACTAGTCAAAGTTTGCTTGGCTCCACGTGGCTTCAGATTAAGGCCTCCCATTATCCTACAGGCTGCTGTGTTGTGATAAGCGCTTGTGAGGCAGCCATGTGTCTGCAGGCTGCAGGTCACATCCTTGGGGGGTGCTGTGCACAGCTCCACTGAGAGAGTGTGTGAGCGTCCAGGAATGTGTTGATGGAAATCACAGCTGAACATATGATTGCTCCAACCTCGGCAGTCATGCTGGGGCCCACCAGCAACAATTTCGCGCATGCATGCACGCAGGCCCACACACACACACACACAGACACACACACCTATACACACGCACACATGTGCACATACCTTTACATGTTTTCACTCCCCATCCTGAAGCCAAACAC